AAGTTGTACTAGCCCCTCGCCAGTTCTCATCTTCCAGCTCCCCAGATACGCCCACTCGCCTGCATTTCGCGCACTCGACGAGCACGATCTCCGCAGAGGGTTGCGCGTGCAGGGCACAAATCGCACTCTCGCCTGCATTTCGCGCACTCAACACGCACGATCTCCGCAGAGGGTTGCGCGCGGACCGGACAAATCGCACTCTCGCCTGCATTTCGCGCACTCAACACGCACGATCTCCGCAGAGGGTTGCGCGCGGACCGGACAAATCGCACTCTCGCCTGCATTTCGTGCCCTCGACACGCACGATCTCCGCAGAGGGTTGCATTTTCGGTTGACGCTGTTCGTCCCACCCTCCGCCTTTAAAAGAGAATTTATAAAGTGGGGAAATGTTTTTCATTAGGACATCTCCCGTGAAAGTTTTCAATACTCACACTTGCATACTTGCACTGGGACTGCACTGGGATACTTACACTTGCATTACACTTGCATACTTTTGCACTTGGATACTTACACTTGCATACTTGCCCTTGGATGCTTTCACTCTTACACTTACACTGGGATACTCACACGTACACACTTGGATACTTCTGTGCCATTGTTCGTATAGAAGTGTAAGTGTTCAAGTGTAAGTGTGGAAGCGTAAGTGTTCAAGTGTAAGTGTAGAAGTGTCAGTGTTCAAGAGATTTTCCGGAAGAACCCTTCGCAATGCTTTCGGGAAAAAAGGCTCTATTAGAGCACAGAATGGACGGACCATTTCCTCAAGTCTTTGACGAATCTTCGCCCTTTTTCCGATGTCAACATCTGACCAGACCTTAGAGCGTCAAAGCCAGGTGGGAGTTTGACTTCATATAGTGTATATGTGAGTTTCACGTTGTCAATGTGCGCAAAATGCATTTGAGCAAGAAACTGTTCCTCTCGCTGTGGGCGCTGGCTGTCTCCATCTAGCCGCACTATACACCATTCAAAGATATGTGCGCTGCATGTTTAAATGGGTTGCTTGCGCAAGCTCCTCCAAAACTTGAAATTCCTCAAACAAATGCTTCCTGGACCTCTTGCTTCTTGATTCGGCACCTCAGAAGAGGGGTGAAGAGAGGTGAAAAGCACATGGTCAAGGAGGTGCAGAGTGTGAAAGGAACCTGAGATTTTGCGAGTTGTAGAAATATTTGAGAATGAAATCTCATCCAGTTTGTTCATTTTATATAGACTCTGCTATATATTATTTGTCCAACCCCTAAAAGACCTGGCTGAGTCGCAGTAGGGTCGCATGTGGCTCGACCTGCAGCGTACCACTGGCTGGGAAGCGATCCTTGCTAGCTGGAAAATCTGCTCTGGCCCAAAGATCTCGCGCAGCTGCAACAGTTCCGGTCTGCCACCCAAGCAGTGACAAGTCCTTAGCAAACCAAAGCCCTGGTGTGAACATGCAGCAGTCCACTATGTCTTTGGGCAACATTGCGAACTCCAAAATAGTTGGCAGAACTATGACTTCTGAGGAAAAACAAACTTGGGATGAGGATGATAACATGAACAAGTGATGTCCTCAAACCAAGAATCAAGGCTAACCTGCGCGATCTCCTCCGAGGGGTTGTAGAATGCAACAGCTACAGAACCATCGCTGAGATTTCGGCCATAGATGCTCCAGTCACCATCCTGGAGCAAGCGACCTGCCGGAGTATCGTCTTGATTGATGGCGATGACTTCCGTATTCAACAGAATCCTTCTCTGCAATGGTGTCAGAGAAGCTGCACATGTCCCAGGTGTGAAGTTCCCAGCAATTTGATCCGTTTTGGAGCAGTTTAGCAGTGGGGTGGTGACAATCAAGGGGGAGGCAAGGATGGCCCACATGCTGAATTCCGTCTGGTACTCTGTGGCAGTCATGTTTCCTGTGCGCCCATTCGCGTGAGCCGCTTGTCTGTAGTTCCCACTTTCCAGCATATCCATGTCATTCCACGCGTAGGGAGCGCCAGCCTCTGCTGGTGGTATTTTGCTCCTCTCTGAGATGATCTTTTTGGTGTCTTGTTAGACACGTGTATGCACTCACCTCTGGAAAGAATGTCGGGCACC